CCTCCTATGCATGCGAAAGCTGGACAATGAATAAGGAAGACAAGAAGAATTGACACCTTTAAATTATGGTGTTGGCAAAGAATATTGAATATACCATGGACTGCCAAAAGAACGAACAAATCTGTCTTGGAAGAAATACAGCCAGAATGCTCCTTAGAAGCAAGGATGGCAAGACTTCATCTCACATACTTTGGATAGGTTACCAGGAGGGACCAGTCCCTGGAGAAGGACATCATACTTGATAAAGTAGAGGGTCATTAAAAAGAGGAAGACTGTCAACGAGATGGATTGACACGGTGGCTGCAACAGTGGGCTCAAGCATAACAACGATTGTGAGGATAGCGCAGGCCCAGGCAGTGTTTTGTTCTGTTGTACATAGAGTCGCTGAGTCGGAATCGACTCAATGGCACCTAACAACAACAACAAAATAATATTACCATTTATTGATTACTTTGCTGATTTTTCAGGGAAGTGCCTTATATAGAGAGTATTTCATTTGAGTTTTACAACAGTTCCATTAGGTAGATATTTTGTGGTTACTCCTACTTTTTAGATGAGGAAATCAAGACTCAAAGAAGTTGTATTAACTTGTCTAAAGCCATACTGGTGATTAAGTATTTGAGTCAGGTTGCAATCTGGTTGCAATGCCTGGGCTCTGTACTAATACAACTACCCTACCCTATTTACTGTAGCCCCACTGAAAGGTATCTGTATGTTTAACTTAGATATAAAGTCCATCAGTCACCTGGCCACGAACAATCCTATCATCAGAGGTCAAGTCCTCCACAAGCCAGCTGGCTCCCACCTGCTAGAGTGGAACTTGAAGGCCTTTCAGAGCCAGGCTTAGGTCTGAATCTTAGCCCTCCCTCCTCTTCACTAATTGTCTGCTAAAGAAAGTAATTAACCTCTTTGGGCTGATTTCTATAGTAGCAAATGCCAACAGAACACTTAATAACAGGCCAGACACTATTCTAAGCACGTCACATTAATTCTCAACAACCGTATGATGTTGATACTATGATTATCCCATTTTATAGATGGGGAAGCTGAGGCATAGAGCACTTTAAGGTTAAGTAATTTGACCTTAAATCTAGTATTTTGACCCAGGCAATCTAGTTCTAAAGTCCATGCTATTAGCTACAGTCTACACTGTGCTGCCTCTGGAGATGATAGGATCAAGGGTGTGTAAACCTCTGACCCTAGGCCAGGCACACTGTTGATGGGACTATTGTAAGGTTTAGAAGAAGCAAGTTCAACAGCTCTGATCACTCACAAAAAGAGACGCACCAATTTGTGGAGAGTGTTCTGATTTTCATCTTGTACCAAAACCCTTTTATGTCTTTGTCTTTAAACTTCCAAGACCTGCTAACTGAAGCTTTTCTAATTAAGGGGGAGATTCCTTTGAAGAAGGTATCTGTTGGTGCATACCACTTACCTTCTCTGCACCTGCCTGGATCTCAGGGGGCATGTGAGCATGAGAAATGGTGATGTAGCCACCAGCACAGGTGTACTCATTCCCCTCCAGGTCATCTGGCCCAGCACAGTCTTCTGGCGCTGAAGCTATAGTCTTTCCTGTTGATGGTAATTAGAACCTTTCAGACTCAATTTCTTATGTGAAAAATCCCAATTCACTTAAATTGTCTCCTTAATCCAGTTCACTTGGAACTATCCAGTGCCTGCAGTTTGTTTGCAACAGGGCTTCGAACTGGTTCATTCGAGAATTTGCATTCACCACATCTTTGATGTGGTGAAACCCATGTGAAATTGTGCACTACAGATTAGTAAGTATATACATTTAAGCCCGTGTCTACCTTGCTTACTGTAAGCTAGTGCATACCATGCTTACTGGTTAATCTGCCCCTGTTAACAATAGTGACAAATAGATGAGGTAACAGGATAAAACCCTTGGGAGAACAGTGCTGGTTCATAGGAAGTGTTCAATGAATGTTAACTGTTAGTATTACCATTATTAAACCCCTCCAGCCCTCAGCCTCCTTCTTTCTCTCCCACCCTGTGATCTTGCTCTGGGAAGCCAGGTCCCCTTCCTGTTCCTCAGGCTCTGGACCTTCCTGTCTTCACCCACCAGGTTACTTCATCTCTCAAAGCCTCTATGTCATTATCTGAAAAATGGGGCCGAGGGATAATGGAATCTACTTCATAAGATTGTTGTGAAGGTTACATGAGATAATTCAAGTCGAGTGCTGAGCACAGAGGTCAATGCCTGTTCACTCCTTTCAGTGTTATTCCTGAAGCACAAAGGGACACTTGGAAGAAGGTCTTGGGGAGTTCTCCGAGCCAAAGGGCCTGAAGTCAACAGGATCATTTATGGTTAACTAATGGCTGAGTGTAAGCCTCGGGAGCTGAGGAGACTGCTGGCTTGTTCATTGCAGTAACTGCTGTGCCTGGACCCTAGTGGGCACACAGTAATATTGAATAAATTGATGGATGGATGGATACTGCAGAAGGGTTTCAGAAATGCGTTTGGCTCAGGCAACATGACAGAATTTTCAAGGCAGAACACTTCTAGATGTTTAAGCTTTCAAACAGCCAAAAACACCTTCCTCTTCTCTCCTCTCCTCTCTTGGTCCCCAGGATTTAAAAACAAAATCAAAACAACTCCCATTGTTCAATGTCACTGTGTTCTAAGCATTCTGCTAACTATAGACATTGTCTCTTTTAATCTTGACCCAAACCCTGAAAAGTAGGTATTATTACTCACATTTTACAGACAAGAAACAGGTTTAGAGAAATTGAGCAATTTGCCCAAGTTTACATACCTAGTAAAATGCAGAGCCAAGATATGAACTCTAATCTGTGGGGCAGGAAAAAGACAGCCCTCATTTGCTCATCAGTGTTCTGATTTTGAAACAAGTCTTTCCAGTTGCCATTCTCCCAAATACCCAATGTACACCAAACAAGGAGTGTCTCCAAGTGGCAGATGCCTCTCCCTTGCAATCATCTGGCCTTCATATTATCTGGCCACTAGAAGTAGAACTGCTGTCTTGTACAATTAAGGTGGTAAAAGTTGTTTATTTGCCTGCACTGTCATTAATCTCTTCATCTGACCACCTTCTCACTTTATGTTTTGAAGAGTCAAGTTCCAGAGGAGGTGGGCAAAGATGTATTCTGTTTTCAGTATTTTCAGGATCCTATTGTTGCATTAGCGAAGTACAAGGTGATTTTTGTAAATCATTCTCCTGTTCTTGGGAAGCAAGTATTTCAAGTACATGAGTTGAGATTAATATCCAGAACCCGAAGAGTCTGCGCACCAGAATGGCTAGGTTTGATTCCCAGCAGTGTGCTTCTTGAGTGAATGTGGGGATACACAACTCTCTCTCTCTCTCGGCTGCTCATTTTCCTTCACCCTGTTTATTTTACCAAGGGTATTTTGCAGGTAATTTGGGGGATAAATATGAATTTCTGTGAAATACTTTGACCCCCTAAGAATGGTATCAGATACATCCACCGAAGTTTAGCCCAGAAAGGCACTGATGATTCAGAGATAGAACTTTATTTACTTCTGGCCAGAAATCATTCCACTCTATATATGGGGACTTCTGGAGTGAGAATAAAATGGGAACATGTTAAATTGAGTAGTTTTTCTCCCTTCCTGTTGCCTCTCTATCCGTCACCCCAAATCTGTGAGACCATAATAGGCTCTTACTCCTTCCCTTGAAGAACAGAACCTCTTCCCAAGTTGTGTCCAAGGTCAGGCGAGTGAGGACAGGAAAAGTGCACACCCCATTGTGGCCAGGATGCAGTCCACAAAAGCCATCTTGTTCCTTTGACCTACATTGACACTGAGCCTATTCCTTTGGTGCCCTTGACTTTGGCAGTGTGGTTAGTCTAACTCTCTGTCCCCACCTTGAATTGGGCTTTGATGAAAAAGCAGTAGGAACTCAGGCCTGTCCCCAGGGATTTGGGGTTTTTGTCTTGGAAAAGCATCAACCAAACTAGCAGGGGCAAGAGATCTGGATTCCTGTGGTTTGGGCTAACTTAGGTCCAAAGAAACCAAGTGCCTATGATCATCATCTTCATTCCTCAAATGTGGCCATGCCCTCTGGTTTCTCTTCTCTTACTCATCCTCTTCCAAATTAGGATGGCTTCAGGGTTACTTGCTCTTGCTTTACCACTACCATGTCCTTCCATATTTGAAATACTTTTGTATATAGAATACTTGCAAACTGCTGCTGCTGGGATGGTCTAAAATCTTTTGGCTTTAGTACATGCAATAACAAAACAACTTCTAAGCATCAGTGTGTTTCCTCCCCATTGGGATTCTGTAAACCTCCCTGAGATTTGCCTCTCTGGGTTTCCTGCTGAGCCACGGAGTCTTGTCCTACCTCATTTCTCCCAAAGCACTGCATCTGTATATCAGGAATCATTTGGTTGCCTTGATTGTATATCTTGGACCTTTGCTCTTGGCTTCCTATAATAGGATGTCCAGATTTGTGTGCAGACATCCAAAAGGAGCCAGGCTGCTGCAGTACTGGATGACAGAATAATAAGGTCTGTGGGTTACTAGCCTATACCTTCTCCATACATTGCAAGACTGAGTTTGCTCCAGTACTGCTTCCAGATATTCTGTGGATGGTCTTGGGCATGTTGTGGTAAATGTTACCACTCCAGAGAATTTTGGCAAATTTAACCAGCTTTGAAATGACTCTCCCAGATTTTTATACACAAGGAAAACTAAACTAAGAAGGCTGATAACGGTACACTTCTTGTTCCCACTCTTCACTCTACCACTTCTCATGCCAGTGAAGCTCCTTTGGCCCAAATCTTGTAGGCTGGGTACCTCTCACCCAGAAAAGCTTTGTAGAAATATTGATCTTAAAATCTCACCCCTGGAGGTGAGTGGCTCACACACCCTTAATACTGACTCACTGTTAAAAGAGCAGCTGTATCGAGACTAGGTCTGAAGCCCATGAAATGACCAAAAAGCGGGAGGTGATTTGATATGCAGAGACCTAATGTGTTCCTCTCCATTTCCACTTCAGATTTGCTGACCATGAAAGAATATCACTGTTTACTGCAATTACTGTGCCCTGACTTCCCGCTGGAGCTCACACAGAAAGCAGCCAGGTACGTCTCCTGGGCCTTGAAACCAACTCAGCCCTCTATGGACCACGGCTTTTATACAGTAAAACCGTTAGGGAAGAATAAAGCCAATAGAGAAGAAATTGGCATTTGGAGAGAGGTCTATTTGGGATTTATCCAAAAATATATAATACTTTCTGTGTTTCCAAAGGCAAGCCAAATGATCCTTTGTGGGTTTTGTGGGGAGCCTGAGGGTCTGAAGATAGGGGGTTGGTGAGATGAAGAGGCAAAAAAACAAAACAAAACAAAAAAAAACACGCCACACAAAAATCCTAGAGGATGTTCTGAGAAAATGGGAGAGGGGGCAAGAGTTGGCAGTGATTTGTGATGAAGGGGGTTGAGGTTGGGGGCCAGAGTGGAATGAAGGTGATAAAATCTTGATTGAGGAAAGGGCATATTGTACTATTTCCCATAGAAGGTGGCTTTTATGATTAATCCAAAACCAGGAGGACTTGGCAGAAAAGAGTTGGACATCCCTAATTTCTGTGTTTGGTTTCACTGTCGCTCACATTTTTTAACCAAATGAGGTAGCCAGACTATGCTTCTGTTAACTTTATTTACTACAAAACCCAAGCTGGGTTGCAAATGGAAGTACAGTGTAGCAAATATCCTGTTTTCTGAAAAATACCGACCTTCCCTAAATCATATGGAATGCATTTACCTTCATCGTCTCATTCAAATCCATTTACCTTAATTATCTCATTTAATCCTTAAAAAGATGTGACTTCCCACTTTACCAAAGAGGAAACTGAAGCTCAAAGAGTTTAACTATGTTGCCTGAACTTGTTGATAGCTGGTAAGTGGTATAGGCAAGATTTCAACCCAGGTCTGCTGAAACCAGAGCCTTTCCTCTCAACTTCATCACACTCCTGCCTCCCTGTGTCAGGCATCATTTCATCCTGGAGCATTTCTCCTTGGTGGTTTGACCCACTGACATCAACACTGGATTGGCTGCACTGCCCCAAGAACCACCCCCTCCATTGCCTAGGAAGATGGGAAACCGACTGCTACCAGCAACACACTGGGGCAGGCTGTTTTGCAATTCTACAGATCATGAACTAATTTTTCTGGTTATGTGCAAAACCTGTTTAGTGATCACACACCCAAAATTATGTAGTTTTTCTCCCCCTCATTGTTCAGTGGATACTTATCTTTCCCAGTGGCAACTGGCCACTGATAAAAGCTGTAGTTCAGCTTTTATAATTTTAATTTAATCTGTTATCCAGAAGATATTTTTTTTTCCTTAGATGAAAAAAAAAAAAAAAAATAGTGTGGAGAGACTATATCTTGTGATTTAAAAGCAGCCAAGTGGAGTTAGCTTCAAATTTCCATTATAGTTTCCCTTTGGGCTCAGATCATTCTAAGGAAGACTCAGCCCTAAATTTTTTTTTGGAAAAACTCAGCATTCTTAAAGACTGTGCTATATAATAAAAGTCAGCTATAAGTCTAACCTGAGAATTCCTAAATAAAGAAAAGGAACCAGGAGCAAGAGTATGTATATGCTCCATGAGAGCAGGCAGGATCTGTACCAGTCTTGTTACTGCTGGATCACTATTGCTTAGTATAGTACTTAGATAAATGCTCAACCCTCCATAAATGTCTGCTGAATGAATACATGAATAAATACATAGATGAATATTCATTGTGTGGCATTCTGCATGGTTCTAGTAGTTCATGGTTCTAAGCGACAGTCCATTAGAACAAGAGTTAGCAACTATATTCTGTCTTCATTTGTTCATTCATTTATTGATTGATCAGATATTTCTTGAGTGCTTATTTTATGCCAGGAGCTATTCTGCACACTGGGGATATAGTGATGAATAAGATATCATTCCTGCCCCTCAAGGAACTTGACATTTCATTTAGAAGAGGATAGCTTGGCTACTGGTCACTGGCTGCTACCACTTTGTGATGTATCATCTTGGTTTCTGTCATTCCAGAACAGCCACTGTCCTCCTTTCTCATTCCTGAAGGGTGGGAGGTGAGCTTAGGAGAGTGAGCCTTGTGTATGATTGTCAACCCCAACAGCCACAGCTTTGCATTCACTCCACCCATCTCCTTGGTCCCTACCAAACAAGCATTCAAATTTGAGTAAGTGATAGGACCCTCTAAGAACCACAAATTCGTACCATTAGTGATTCTTATAGTTCTTACTGCTGTTTAATGGAGACCTCAGACCTTTAAGTTTGAGAAGAAGGAAGCGTTGTAGCCAGTCTATGTCAATAGCAGTGTAAGGGAATTATGGGAATGCAAGTATAAACAACAGAAGGCCTAAGGTAATCCTCAGAGTCCTGGCTGCAAAGTTAGAGATGAATTCAAAATGAGGGAAAGCTCGTTTTCTCCCCACGTATGAGCATCAGGCTTTTGTGTAAACCCCACCTCTCCAATACCATTTCTTTCCCCACTCCACTCCAGCTGGTGTGTGTGTGTAGAAAAGTTGTATATATCCCTGAAAGTGCACTCCGTTTAAGCTATTCTCATTTCATCCTGGAGCTCAGGATCCCAGTGTCCCCACACACATGCTCAGGCATCTGACCAGAGTCACAGATGGGAGTGGTAAAGCCTCCATGGCATTTGCTGTTGCTGGAAGAAGAACTGCCCTCTCCCATCTCATGGCTGGGCTTACTTAGTCAGGGCCCTGATGCCTGCAGCAAGCCGAAGGAGGAGGCTCCAATCTGGGATGATGTGTGTCTCAAAGAATGTAATCCACACAGACAGCTGTAAACCAGAGCCCTGTTCAGGGGCATGGTGTCTCCACACACGCCTGACTTATGTGCTGTAAGCACCATGGCCAGTCCGTGGGGTGGCAGGTGCAAGCTGGAAACAGGACTAGGAAGGGCAAACAGACTCCATGACAGCAGCTCAGTCAGAGATCTCCCCTCCACCTTACATATTCCTGCAGCAGTGCTAGTGGTTAGGTCATTTTATCCCTGAATGATCGCCAGAGGTTGTCTGTCTCTATCCTCCATCCTCCATGGACTGGGAGACTTTCCTGATGGTGAAGAACATGCAGATTGAAGCCACACTTCTGAGCTCAAAGTCTGGTTCACAACTTACTAGATTGTGACCTTGGGGATGTTATTTCGTTTCTTTGAGCCTCAGTTTCCTCTTTGTAAAATGGGAATAATAATAGTTGAAATGATAGAAGGAGTAGAAGTATGTAATGTTAAAAATATGCAAAAATAGTGCCTGGCACAGAGAAATCTTTCAATAAATGGTAGAAGTAGTAGTAGTAACTTGACCTATAAGAGCACTGCTATCGTGGCATTAGAAAGACCTGGGTGCATATTCCACCTATGCCCCATAAACTAATGACCTTGAACTTATCTCTTTAACTTTCTGAGTCTTGTTTCTGTATCTGTAAAATGGGAAAAATAATAGTAACTAACCCATAGGGTGGTTGTGAGAGTTCAACAACAAGAAAAATACATATAATGTTGAGTGAAATAAGTCAGTCACAAAAGGACAAATATTGTATGAGACCACTATTATAAAAATCCCGTATAAGGTTTACACACAGAAAAAGACAATCTTTGATGGTTATGAGGGAGGGGAAATCATTAATTAGAAAGTAGATAAGTGTTAACTTTGGTAAAGAGAAAGACAACACACAATACTGGGGAAGTCAGCACAACTTGAACAAGGCAAAGTCACAGAAGCTTCCTAGACACATCCAAACACCTTGAGGGACCAAGTTCCAGGGGCTGGGGGCTAGGGACCATGGTCTTGAGGGACATCTAGGTCAATTGGCATAACTTAGTTCATAAAGAAAATGTTCTACATCCTACTTTGGTGAGTAGGGGTCTTAAAAGCTTTCCAGTGGCCATCTAAGATACATCATGTTCAAAGCAAAGGAGAATGAAGAAAACAAAAGACACAAGGAAATATTAGGCTAGAGGACAAATGGACCACATGAACCACAGCCTCCACCACTCTGAGCCCAGAAGAACTAGATGGTGCCCAGCTACCACCTCTGACTGCTCTGACAGGGACCACAATAGAGGGTTCCAGACATAGTGGGAGAAAAATATAGAACAAAATTCAAATTCACAAAAAAAGACCAGACTTACTGGTCTGACAGAGACTGGAGGAATTGCCAAGACTATGACCCCGGATACTCTGCTAACTCAGAACTGAAGCCACTCCCAAAGTCTGCCTTTCAGCTAAAAATTAGACAGGCCTGTAAAACAAACAATAGTACAGTGAGAAATGTGCTTCTTAGTTCAATCAAGTATATGAAATCAAATGGGCAACATGTGCCCAAAAGCAAAGATGAGAAGGCAGGAAGGAACAGAAAAACTGGATGAATGGACACGAAAAACCCAGGATGGAAAGAGAAAGGGAGAGAGTGCTGACACATTGTGGGGATTGCAACCAATGTCACAAAACAAGATGTGTATAAATTTTTGAATGAAAAACTAATTTGCGCTGTAAACTTTCATCTAAAACACAATAACATTTTAAAAAATACATATAAATTGTTTAGCCCATTGTAGACATTCAATAAATAGTAGTTTCTTGCAGTTATCATAATGTTGGCATTATTATTACCAGATTTTTAAAAACTTGAGAAGTTCGTAGGTTCCTTAAGGCAGTGCTTTCTGACCTTTTTTCACATCATGACACTCAGAAAATAATATAACAACAACAATAAATATATATATATACATACACAAGGAGCCATAGTGGCGCAGTGGTTAAAGCTATTGACTGCTAACCAAAAGATCAGGGGTTCGAAACCACCAGCGGCTCCGTGGGAGAAAGATGTGGCAGTCTTCTTTCATAGAGATTTACAGCCTTGGAAACCCTATGAGTTGGAATTGACTCGACAGCATTGAGTTTGGTTTGGGTATATATGTACACACACACGCACACGCACACACACAGGTCTCCCCCCTGCTGGGCCAAGTGGACCACCACACCTGTAACTCATTGGAGGCCCGAGTGACAGGGTTGGGAAGCTCTGCTCCAAAGTGAAGATTTAA